TCTCTCTCTCTCTCTCTCTCTCTCTCTCTCTCTCTCTCTCTCTCTCTGTGTGTGTGTGTGTGTGTGTGTGTGTGTGTGTGTGTCTGTGTGTGTGTCTGTGTGCATGTCTGTGCTCTGTTTTCAAGACATCCCACTATTTCAGAAAAGTAAATCCCCTTGCAGCATCCGTCTGTTTGCGTTTGCGAGTGGTTGTGTGCATGTGTATATGCTTGTACTCACGTATCTGAATCCCTCTCTGTGACTCAACCTATCAGACTCAGATGGACAGTTGGCAAAGGCAGCCGCTAGGAGTACTAAAGAAAAGAGGAAAACAGAACAATAGAGAAGTGAAAACTACCATAGCAACTGGAAAAAGGAAAAATTACTTCAAAAGAGGCAGCAGTTCCACAATCGAGACTAGATGACCTGTTGCCGCTTCGCACGCAAAGACAAATGTGACAGGTGATGCACTGAGGACGGAGACAACCGATCGATGCAAGCTCTCTCCCTCTCTCACACGCACATACACAAACACAAATTATGAAAAAGAAAAAATGAAAAAATTTGAGCTATGCGGCGCAGCCATGTGGTGCGGTTTCGCACCTTTAGCATTCCCCCAGCAACCCCCCGACTTATCCCCTAACTTTTTCCCTCCTCCCTCCTTTCCCTCTCCGTCTCGTCCTTCCCCTTCCTCCTCCTACTCCCCGTCCTCCTCCTCTAGCTCCATCTCTTTCTCCCTTCCTACCCTCCTTCCTTTTTGGCTTCCGCCTCCTCCTCTCTTGCTGCTATTCCTTATCCTCCTCCTCCTCGTCCTCCTCCACCTCGTTCCCGTCATCCTCATCCTTCTTCCTCCATTCTTTCTTCCCCCACCCCCTTGTCTTCTGACCTTCTCCTTCTCCTCATCCTCCAGTATTCACTTTCTTGTGTTCGTCCACGTATTGTTGTCGTAGTCCCATTTTCACGTATTGTATGTATGTATTTGTTGCCTTCTCCCGCCGTACATGTTCAACCTACAGTTCTCTATCCCCAATGCTTCCCGCCTTCCCTCTCCGCCCCCCCCTTTGCCGGGCATGCTTAGCAAGTAATAGCAGCGTAGGCCACCTGATCCTCGTCGTCCTGGTGTTCCTCTTCCTCGTCCTCGTCGCGCCCTCCCCCTCCTCTTCCTCCTCCTCCCCCTCCTCTTCCTCCCCCTCTGACACCCCCTTCTCCCCCTCCACCCGTACTGTCGCAATTCCCCTCATGAAGTTCTTTGATCTCCCCACCTCTTCCTCTTCTCCCAATCCCATCATCATATCCCATCGTCATGTCGCTTCTTCTCCCTTTCGCGATCAGAGTCAGTAAGGAAAGAAAAATGAAACCACCATAGCCTGTTTCTGACCCCCTTTCTCGATTCCTGGCACCATCATGATCTTACCTTGTCCTGGCAGAACGTGTTCCTTATCTTTCATCTTCATCGTCACTTCATCAGTCAGCATTGTCATGGTGGGGCGTTTGGTCTGTCTCTCTCTCTCTCTCTCTCTCTCTCTCTCTCTCTCTCTCTCTCTCTCTCTCTCTCTCTCTCTCTCTCTCTCACACACACACACACACAC